TATCAGAGACTGAAGGTGTGTAAAACAGACTTAGATCTTATTGTCTATCTCAATAGTACAAACATAAATTAGGAACCTGCATGGCTTTAAAAAAAGGAAATCAATGCATGGTTGTTCATCGAGGAGAAGTTTTTCATATGAAAACAACAACAACAAATACAGAAATCCTGTGTCACTGATGACAGTTGATAAGACATTGTAAAAACACACACACAAACAGGATGTGTTTGTTGGGAATTCAAATAGCTTTAACAACTTTATAAAAAGTTTCTCTGAAGGCAGGATGACCTTTGAATCATGAAAGCTGTATTTGATTTGTTACTGTATTTCATAGAAGACATCAAAGCATAAACAGCTGTCTATTTAAAAAAACGTTAAGAATTCATAGAAGCAAAGAAACATCTAATGACCAATTTGAAACACTAAATTACTTTTAAAAAATATGAATGGTGTAAAATAAATTAATTTTCTCTCTGCAGGTGAGACACTGTTAAAGGAAACAGATCACCCTCTGTTGGAGAGGATAGCTCGGGGTCCAGACGAGACCTCGGGGGTCAAGATTTACCTGAAGGACCGTATCCTGACTGTCAGGAAAAATTCGCTAGTGACTCAGCCTGTGGTTGAAGAAGAAGAGGAGGAAGTGATTGAACAAGAACCAGTCAAGGTGGAACAGAGCTTACCACACGAGGTAGGGCATGTTTGTATATAAAGGGAGGATACTCCAGCTGTATAAATGAAAGTTTCAGGATTTTAAAAATATTGTAAGATATATATTTCATTCTGAAATTTTTCCAGGGTGATTTAATTTAGATATTTATATTACCGGTGTGTTACATTTTTTGGTCATTTTTGAGTCTCTTTCTGAAATATATTGGACTTCTCACAGGTTGAACAGTTGATTGCGATACCAGAGCCTGTGTTACGGGGGATACTGCAGAAATTCAAAGACGACGAGGATAGAGAAATCAGAACGATACGAGCCAGGTAGGAATTATTATCATGTGCCAACTATTGTCATTATACATTACTTGTTCCTGGTAGTGAGTTTTTTTGGCTGTCATTATGGAATAACCAACATTATTATACCTCATTATAAATATTCTAAATAACGCATTATCTGATTGGTTCTAAGTTATCATGTGATCGGGCCGTAAAACTTCATATTTCCCGGCCGTCGGCACGCTTTTCATCATATTCCACCTCTTCGGAACACCTAGTGTATTTTCCCACACTATAGTTCTCGTTCGTTGAACCAAAACTCCCGAAAGAAGTAGACGTCACAATAGCCTGGTTTACGTCACAAAACTGATGATAATGTGTTGAACAAAGGGTTTTATAGTAACTTTACGTAAAAAGGTAAATGAATTTGAGAGAGGTGCCGAATTTGAAAGTTTATGTTTATTTCAAAGGTTTTGCTTGTTTCGGTATAATAAACAATTCATTGCATGAATGTTCGGGAAACATACTCAGCCAAGAAATATTATATATGATTTTCTTGGCTGAATAAGTCTTTATATTTCCCCCACTATCATGCAATAAATGTATATTACAATTTTTTTGCAAATACATTTAGGTAATGAAATACTCCAATATAGAAATACAAAAACAGTAAAACCCAAAAATTTTTTGAATTGTACTTGTAATGCCTTGATAGTTGGTATGAGGACTTACCAAAATTAACTCGAGTGTTGAAAATAATCTTAGAAACCCATCCATTTCATGGGTGTAGGCTCATTTTTTTCTTCAACTATGTATCTAAAATGGACATAATTATCTAAAACTGCTTATTTACATGTAACAAAATACTATATTATCTCAAAGAAGCAGAATACTTTAAGGCAAATGCAATAGATATAAACAAACCATTGTCAATGCTGATAGGGAAAAAACCCTCTTTTTATTTTCAGATATGACCTCTCAAAAAGACGATTAAAGGAAATGTTAAAAGACAAAGTGAAAACGATGTGAAACTGGTGATTTGGACACAGTTGTGTCCGTTGTGTACGAACTTCAGTATTTGAAGTGTAACACACACAGAGAGAGACAGATTCTCATGTTGCCAGTTGCCAGCAGTGTGCCAGTCAGAGAGACAATGGCAGGAACCCATTTTTGCCAATTTCTATCAATAATGATTGATCAAGCAGCTAAATCATCCATACATCTATGTAGGGCAGTGAAAATGCTCAGGGCCAAAATGGGTCAGAATCACTCATTCTGTAATTCATGTTTCGTGCTTTCTTGACCAGTTTTTCATCCTCCATATAATTATACATTGACACATGGAATACATATTTGTGTTCAGATGTATTTACTGCAGTTTGCATTTCAAATTTCTTAAGTTCAGTGAAGTTGTTGAAGTATGAGTTATTGAGAGAGAGAGAGAGAGAGAGAGAGAGAGAATACATAATTTTTTTTTTCAAAAAAGTGCTGATGCATCAATGCTATAATATATTTCTTAAACTGTTAGATCCACCTCATATGAATAGATTGGCCTTGTGCAAGTGTTGAACTTTGAACAATTCAATTATGAGGTGAATTGAGATTTATTTTTTCCTTTATATGTTGATAGATAACCAAACAGACCAGTAATTATTTTACCTTTATTTGGACACACAATTATCTTGCATATAGGATGAATAATTCAAAAGTCTTATCCTTTTCATTTGTGTATTATTTGACGCTCGGTGATCTTCAACAATGCTATACAAAAATATATCGATTATATGGATATTGTTATAGCAGGAAATATATCGTGTATAAAGGGAATATAACTTATTAAAAAAATTATTTTGCATGTGGTGATGTCTGAGAAGCTAATTCTTTGTGGCCTAACAGTAGCATTGAGGTGTTTCATGAATGAATTAATACAAGATACATGTAGTTTAGTAATCTGGATGTATAGATTTTATTATAAAACAAGGAAAGTTTACTTTTAATCTGAAAACTTAATTGTAATAATCAAGAAAGCAATAATCCCTTATTATGCAAAAATAAAAAGTATCAGTATATAAACAAAGTCAGAGATATATATGTACTTGGAATTAATTGGTTAGAAGAAATTTTCATCACATACATGATTGTTACTACATTTACTGCTGATATTTTGTACCAGTTAAGAATCAAATGCTGAACAAAGGCAATAAGAATGGATGAGTGTGAATGTTCAAGGAATGTGTGATAAAAATACTGAGATTCATCATTGATGTCTTTCTGATTTTGTAAAATCTAAAAAATTGTTTATGCAGTTTCTTCTCTCTGTTTTATTTTTGTTATCTCCTTACATTCCGCATCATTTTGTGCTGAGCTCACAGTAAAATTTTACTAGTAAATGAACTGGGTCAAAACGATTCAATCATGCCATTTCTCTAGAAAAATGTATGGAGATTTAAAAATTTTTTTCTTGACATTGTTACTAGTAGTAAGCATGTTTCTTTTTATTATGAAACTCTATAGCTACCATATTACATACCATCTATGATCAAAATTGAAAATATTTAGTAATACATGATATATCAACCTGGTTGACAACCCTATATTCACTGTAGATGTTTTTTTTTCAAAAATGCTTCAACCTCAAAACTTTATCTATAATACTTGTACTTTGTTTAGCAGTAAAACCTTTCTGCCCTTTACCATTGTCTTTTCCCAGATTGCGTCCCTTTGATTTGTTATAATTATCTACCCTTGTTGCTAACAGTGAGAGCCTTTATGTATTGTTTGCAATATGGTGATATCAAAACAATTATATGGAATAAAAGGCTTTCATCATTGTGTTATGAGAATAATAATGAAGAACAAGAAGTTGTTTGTGTCCTTGTTTTTATTTGTTACTGTTTAGGACTCAACTTGTATTCTTTGGAATGAAATATATGGATATAACGAAAAGTATTAAAGTTCAAATGTCCATACAACAATACAAAATAGGAGCAGAGCAAAACGTCAGAAGTGGGATCAGATGCCATGGAGGAATGAGCATCCCATGCCGACCGTTCACACCCACCGTGTGCTCCTTGATCAGGAAATAATGGAAAAATCTGTCGTTAATTCAGTGTATAAATAATGGACTAACAATTAGAATGAAAAACATCAGTCGGCATTTGACATGATAATACATTGTATTTGCTGACAAGGTCATTGTATCCACCATAGAACTTACGAAATGATGACGTTAAACGAGTATGCTGATGTTCTTGTTTCGTTTCATCTATTAAACATCAGGTCCCTATTAGGCGACTTACAATGTAACAGCTGGTCTATCACAATGAATAAGATGGCCTTCCGTTAGGCTCAGAAAGGCTAAACTACCTCAGAAACAAATCAACAAATAGAAGTTGTAGCAAACAACGTATTGACACGAAAGATTTAGATGACCCCCCCCCCTCCCAATGCAAATTACAAACTCAAAACTAAACGGTGTTGAAATTTCTAGCGTTTGAAAAAAAATTAACCTGTATAACCACACTTAGAATGGATATCATATAAACACAGACTAGTAGAAAGTAAAGGGTAAAAATATGGATGTGTGAGCAGTCAGTAAAGTCAATAAAGTCAGTTTACAATAAAACAAAGAAATTATGAAAAAAACTTGTCGATTGTAATACTAGAGGTGGGATCAGGTGCCTTGGAGGAGCCAACATCCTCTGTAGACTGGTCACGCCTCAAATTAGTCCTATGTATTGATAAGGTTACTGAGTACTTCGCAGTAAATTTATTATGAAAGTGATGACTGAACAAATGGTTTAAAATATGTTAGGGAAAAAACCACCCAACGATAAAGTGTGTTTACAAATGTTTTGTCTTTTTTGTAAGATTCATTAATATTATAACTTTGTTTTAGAAGAAGTTGGTTTTAATGCAACGTCAGTAAACCAAACTTTTAACCCGCGGATCACTTTCTTGAGACAAAATTCTTTAAAATGATAAAATCACATTTCAGTGTTTATTTTTTGAACATTCTATTTTGAGTCAACCAAGGTGAATTTGAAATAAACTACTGAGTATCTAAATTGGATTCCTTAACTTAAAAAAAATCCTTACAAATAAAAATACATTCCAGGGTCCAGATACCAGAAATGCTCCAGGAAACCCTTGTCTTTATTTACAAAAATGTTAACTGCAATAACAGAGAAATTTCAGAGGCACCGTGCTGCAGCACATTTCTTGAAGTGAAGGCTCGGTCGCTATCACTTTCCGTGTCTTCGGTCAATATCAATTGGCGTGAGTCCTTATAACCACATATAGACCTACACTGAAGTCCATAATTGTATAATATCGAATACGTATTGTTAATAAAAAATTGTTACTTCCATTCATATGTCAATTCAGTGCATGTATATCCCAGTGAACTTGGAATAAAAGACATCACAAAGTCAGTTGAAAGACATCAATACCATACATATACGAAATTGATGTCAGAATTACAATGCATACAAAATGTCAATTTAGATATAATTCTTCCTAATTGTTTAAATGCAGTTAAACGTCGAAATATAACAAATGTATCACTGTGAAATATATTTTCTTCACGTTCACTGGGATTTATTGAGAAACTGTTTTAAATTGATCAAACGAGGTCGTTTGTATATCTAAATGTCGAATTAAAGACCATAGCAGGAGTCTTCTTGTAAAGAAGTTTCTGAAAAAAAATTCTGCTTTAAGAGAATATAAAAATAGGTCGACTCATATATATATAGTAGCACTATCAATTCCCCAATTAAATTCCAACCTTTTGCTGAAAGACTTGTTCATCAAAACCTACATATATAGACTGCATAAACGCTTTCATTGAGGAACTCCAAAATACTTTTAATATTAAATGAACTTTATGAAGAATCAAAACTACTTTTAACATTTAAATTAATTTTATAGCTAAACAATCACAAAAGAAGCATGCAGTTGTATATGAGATCTGTTCAATTTTTTGCGAGGAATGATTGTATGAAGTGTAGAAGATTTGTTTAAATGTCACGTGTTTTACTGCTATTGATGTTTAAATTTTCCGAATGTTCTTTGGACTTTTGTTTTAAAATCCACTTCTTTAATATGTTGCATATTTGAAATACGTTTAAACTTTCACTTTAACAGCAGTCAATTGTTTGATGAGGAGTAAACAGTTTTGAAAGTAAAGAAGGCTGACTTAAACGTAAAATTATTGAAAAGTATCTACAGACTGGTTAAGATAAAAAGCAATTAGCTATGGCACGCCAAATTCACAAAAATGATCTAATCATAGTTTCACAGTCGATAAATTAGGTTTATGGTTGTAAACTATATTTTACGGACTGTAAACCATAGTTAACAACGTTAATTTATGTTTTACATCCGTAAACCATAGTTAACCCGATAATCTATGTTTCAGAACCGTAAACTATTCTTAACACTGAAAACAATGGGATCATTTGCTATTGCAAAACATAGATTATCTGATAAATACGTTTCACGATTTGTAAACTATTGGTTTACAACGCTTAACTATAGTTAACGATCTGATAAATATATTTTCACGATTTGTGAAACTATGATTAACAACTCTTAACTATAGTTCACGATTGTAAATTATAGTTTACATACGTGAATCTAAGTTTATCAACAACATCTATTACAGACGGATACACAAAGATTAGCATTCGTAAACTATATTTAACAACCGTTAAAAATACTAGTAGTTTTAGGGGGTCAACTAAGATACATGTATACTATACAAAAGTTTTGTTTTTCTTAATTAGTCTACTGGTTGATCCCCCTTTTTTCTATGTATAAAATTTACAATGTTTTTCTATGTATAAAATTTACAATGACATTATGGTGCTGGGGGTCAGATTGTGCAATATTGTGATAAAGATATGTAATATTTTATATTTTCACGGTTTGTCATTTACTTCAATAAATAAACTCAATAAGTTTACAGTCGATAAACCTAGTTTATCAATTGTGAAACTAGGTTTAGCTCATTTTTGTGAATTTGACGTGCCATCGCAAGAAATAAAAAGTTACTCAACATCTTAGCTGTGTGAAGGCTGTGGAGAGAAAACAGAATACGATATACTAAGAATAAATTCATTTCCATGAAGGGAGAAAGAAGCGAGCTTCGTTTACTCTATTAAATTATGGCCTTTAAGTTTGTTAAGTGTGAATATTTTCTGATTTTAACTTATTCACTTATCCAGGATTATTATACATGTAAGAACTTCATTTTCATTTTATGAATGAGCTTTAAAAATTCTTATTGTGGCTTCTAACCTATGATAAATGTTACATTTAACTCAGAACAGTCTTTTTCCCTTTTGGAACTTATCCTGAACGACCAATTTAACATATTTTATTTTCTTTCGGAACGGTTGACCTCATTCGGAATACCTCGGTCTGTGTTTCCATTCACAACCAGGGTGTTTTGTCATGATACCTTACACACTGAAAATAAATCGTTCACCAAACCAGCATTTAATTTTAATGTGTAGATTTAAACATGTCCCTGGTCAAGTAAAGAAAAGAACCATATTAGCACACAAACTAAATTAAAGCTGATGCCAAACTCTATACATTTCTTAAATAGAAGGGAAATATTAGGAACCATGGGCTTATTCTTATCTAAATTGACGACTCTTTTCGAGTCTTTTTCCTCTGGATCACCCTCCAAAATTCTTATGCTTGGCTTAGATGATGCAGGTAAGATCACAAAGATTTAGAATAAAAAAGAAATATGAATTTTAATATACTAAGTATATTCTTCTGTGATTAAGGGAAAAGAGTGAATTCATGGAAGAAATCAAAACAGCAAATTCGCAGAAATTAGATTTAACTCATTTTTTTCATTGTAGAAGAAATGAATATATTTTCTTTAATACATGTAATTGTTTTCCTGTGATTAAGGACAAATTAAGATTATTTCATTTATCAAACCAAATATTCAAATTCCGATAAATTAACTTATTTTTCGTTCTAAATGAATTAAGATTTAACTTTTTTTACTTAATTAAAATAGTTTCAAAAAGTTAATATAAAGATAAGACATTTTACTTGTAGGAAAAACAACGATTTTGTACAAGATAAAACTGAAAAAGAATGTGTGTACCATTCCCACGATAGGATTTAATGTTGAGACCGTGTCCCATGCGAAGGGTGTGTCCTTTACTGTGTGGGACGTCGCGGGGCAGGACAAAATTAGACCGCTGTGGAACAACTACTACCAAGGGACAGAGGGTAAGTATCTTCTTAACAGTTTTAAACTTTATATTTGACCAAAAATACATGTTCATTTTAGATAAGTGTTGGTTATGTGTGTCTATCTTATGATATACAAAAAATAATAATAAAAATTAAAAACATTTGTTTTAGCAATGGATCTTAATGTTTCATAATTTGTTCTGCTTCATTCTTTTTTTTTTATTAGGATTGGTTTACGTGGTGGATAGTAACGATAGAGAAAGAATCATAGAATCACGAGAGGAACTCTTCAGAATTCTTCAAACTGACGAAATGAGAGGAGTTCCAGTAATGGTTATCGCTAACAAGCAAGATCTTCCAAGTACGTCCTATCTTAAACTTTTTAAACAGTATCTCTATTATTTGTAATTGGTAAAAATAGATTATAAAATAACCTAAACATTAATATAAATTGCTTGAGTCTTTATTAATGCAGGGATAACAATAAGATCCTTGCAGAAAAAATCCTGCAATGTTCGTTAGCCCCTGCATAATGATAAGCAATAAGATCAATATAAATATATTTCTAAAACGATTCAAATTCAACATTCAATAATTCCAAGATATATTTGTGTTATTTTGTGTAATTTATTAATTCTGTATACTTATAATTACATGTATCAACTTAGAATTTTCTTCTTTACTTTATAGATAATTTACTTTATAGAAAATATTTCTAACATTAAATAAGTTCATCTTTCGTTGTAGATGCTCTAAGTACCTCGCAGGTGGCTGAAATGATGTGCTTACACAAATTGACGACCCGGAAGTGGTACATTCAATCCGCATGCGCAACAACCGGGGAAGGGATTTTCGATTCTATGCAAGAATTATCAGCAATGGTCAAAGAATATAAGAAAGGACTAAAATGAAGCACATTCAATTTAAATGTGCAATCGAAAGCAACCACTTAAGTGTTCCAAGCAAGCTAGCTGTGTGGATGTTTGCACACAGAAGATTGATGAATGTTTTAACACAGGGCACAGACTACGAACGTTTTGTTCAATGGGTCAGAAATTGCTCAAATGAAAGAATTATATGCCATATTCACTAGTATTTAATATTGGTAACTTTCTTCTATAAGACATTGATTGACATATTGTCTGCCTTTCCCCCCATTTTCATGTAACATGGATACAAGGAATAAATTGTCATCAAAATATTGATGGTATTATGTACACGTTTTGGTGGTAATGAATATAATATCTTATACAATTATCATTTATTAAACTACTGAGATTCAAATAGCAAAAATTGTTTGAGTTTATTTTTCTACGCAAACAAACATGTCTGACTGACGTCACAATCAGCTGTGTATTTATGAAGGGACGAAAAAACGAAATATTAGCAAATTCAGTTATACGTATTTAGGAATAAATATCATAATGGTAATAATTAATTTTTAATGGAATATAAAGATAACAAACGGTGGCCAAGCCAAAAGTCCATTAAAACAATACAGATCGAGAGTAGAGCAAAGAGAGACACGGTCTCTAAAATATCGGACGTGAGTTTAAATACTATGGAGGGCAAAAATAGGCTTTGCCTACTGCCTAATCCCATTCACTTTTATTCGTGAATAAATTTTGTATGAATTAAAAAAAAAATACAATGGAGTAAGAATACCCTTTAGATTAATCACATCATGTGCTCCGTTTCATGATCGGGCAAAATAAAAACGTACACAATTTGATTTGGAAATAATGCCCTAACAATTTGTATAAAAAAAACACCAGTCAACATTTAAGCTAATGATAGATTGTATTCGATGACCAGTTGATTGCCTTGACCATAGAATTTGCCAAATGAGACGGTTGATTTCATTTTGTCAATACTTTGCCTTGTTTAAGCAATTGCTCGTAGAGCAGGCATTAGGGTGTCGAATCAACTGCGAGACATAGATTTCATCTGCAGACGGTATTGACCATAAAGTAAGCAAAATATTGGCTTTTAAATAAGTTGATATCATTGTATCATAAACTTATTTGTCACTAGCCATGTTTTAGATATTGTTTGTACGTATGGGAATGCTGTGTATCAAATCAGCTGAGACTAAACTTTTTCCTATGCTGGTGATTAAGGTATATGTAGTAACAAAAAAAATGAATGTTCATTGAAACTCATTTCTCATAAAGTTTTGATGTTTGGTATCAACGACATTATGCATCAGTTGTAGACGTCTTTTTTCAGTAAAATGTCGTTTAGAACTTTACATGAAACATGGGTCAGTGTGATACAATTGGTATAATAATTCCTGCAGTGGCTATAATGTTTGCATAAATGTTGTATTACTCAGAAAAGTTAATAATCTGTGTATGTGTATTGTTCTAAGACGTACGTCGCTGTGCGTTTTCTCTGATGTTTCCATTGCATGCAGAAGGTTGTTCTATTCTCCAACAACGCAATCAGTCAGCTGCTTGGATTCTTGGAGCTTGTGGGTGACCTTTCAATTTCATGCCAAATTCCTCTACTGGCGATAGATTTAGATTTTATGGTGGTCCACAATCATTCCGCAATCATTGCAGGCAAGAATTTGCGACAGGTAGGACTAACATGTAGACGAGCAGCGTAAAAAATGCTTCAACCTCAGACTGTATCTTTAATATTTGTACTGTGTTTAGCAGTATAACCTTTAACCTTTACCATTGTCTTTTCCTAGATTGCGTCCCTTGCGTGTATAAATAATTGACTAACAATTAGTGTGAAAAACGTCAGTCAGTATTTGACTCAATGATAAATTGCATTTGCTGACAAGGTCATTGTATCGACCATAATATTTACGAAACGATGACTTTAAACGAGACTGCTGATATTCTTGTTTCATCAACTTGTTTGTCAATAATTTACCCCGTTTTAGAAATTGTTCATACATAGAACATGCTCTTGCGTATCGAATCACCCGAGATATATAAACTCCGTATGCAGGTGATGAAGTTACAACTGTATATTGCTGCATAAGTAAGGGAAGTTGACGATAGAAAAGTCATCACGTTTATCATAGAGTTTGGTTGTTAGATTACCATTAACGTCTTTTTCAAGTAAAACATCCAAATATGAAACAGATATGTCAGACTCTGTGGTATCTTTTATCTCAAGCTCACCGGGATATATCGTATCGACATGAGAATGGAAATTACCATTGTTAATTGACAATATGTCGTCAATATATCTAAATGTCGAGTTGAAGGCCACGGCAAGTGTTTTCTTCTTTTCATGCCAGATAAAATTTTGCACAAATTCTGCTTCATATGAATACAAAATTAGGTCTGCTAATAAAGGGACGCAATTGGAACCCATGGGATTTCCAGCAGATTGTTGGAAGACCTGATCTCCAAAAACGACATAGATATTTTCAATCAGAAACTCAATCATCTTTTTAATGTAAACTTCAGAGTACTTGTGTGTACAATCAGAATGTTTTTTACCAAAATAAATTTGCAGATGACCAATGACAAGGTAAGTAAATTTACAAGTTCCATTTTAATTAAAAAAGCAGCTGTCAATGATATCAAAAAGCCTGGACTTAACTTATTGTGGGGAATGCTTGTGTATAAAGTTAGAAAGGAAGTTTTTAAGCTCTTGATTTTGGTGAAATCTTGTGATTTCAAATTATATAAATGGTAGTTCAAATTCATTTTGGTTCTTTGAGATATTAAAAATATTCAAAGCTGGCATATGATTTTGAAGACTTTCCTCCTTGGAAAGGGAACTATGAGTATAATTTGAATTACCACCAAAATTAAATCCAAATTTTTCTAAAATACAATTTATATAACGATTATATATCGATCCTTACAAACGAAGACAATGTTGTTATCTGCTTTGTCAGCGGGAAGCAGTACGTATTGATCATGTTATCTATTTAATTCTTTTTTTCTCTTCTGGATTATTGAATACAGAAGGATAGATGGTTTTCATATTGCCCCTAAACTTTTAATACGTGATTTTAACAAGGATCTGATACATTTAATCCATTCTGACAAAGTGTCAACTTTTTTTTTTCATATTTGGACATCGTCTGGCGTAATCTTCAACAGAATCCATAATATTTATGAAAATCCGACGCCAGTTGAAGGATCGGGGCATATTTAAGACCTTTTAAAATTAGATCTGGTTCAAATTTGGATTTTTTACTGACTAATAAGTAATAACTAAACTGACATTATCATCTGCGTATGGTTATTATATCTCCAAACATTCGAAAAGCATGCTCCGAGTAAGTCTTTTTTTAGCCAAACAAGCAACTGACTGATTTGTTGATGATACTTGAACATCTCAAAGGTAAAAATACAATATACATATATATTTTCAAGGGTTACACACTTCCTTTGTATTTGAGCCTGACAACAATAATAAATTGTATTAGTTTATAAACATTTGGACGACAGGCATAATACATGTAGTTTTTGATATATTTTACCCTCAAATTGTCATATCTAGGGCATTTAATGTAGGATTCTTCTCATTTTGTTCGATTTAAAAACTAATGTAATTTTCATAGAATCAAGAAGACAATATCACTAAGTGGTGGTATCAATAAGATTAAGTTTAACCGTTTTATATTAAAGGCAAGGTCAGGTCAAGGTCATTACCTTTTCTCTGGACATTAAAGATGTTTTTCTTTTTGCATAAAAAGATATTACCATATAGGGTCTATAACATGATATAACCAAATTGACATGAATAATTTAACTAAACTGAACACAGGCTCATGTACTTAGCACTATTATTTCCCAATTTAATCCAAACCTATTGTTGGAAGACCTGGTCACCAAAACCTACATGTACCGGTATATACATAGACGACATCAATGAGAAATTTCAGTGTACTTTTAGTATAACTTCAAGGTTTTTTATGTCGAATGAAAATGACATTTAACGAGTTAATTTTATATCTAACCAATCACAAAAGAAACAGTTGTGTATGAGGTCTGTTCTTAAATTTTTTGCGAGGAATGGTTGTACATGAATAAAGCGTAGAAAATTTGTTTAAATGTCACGTGTTTTATACTGCTATTGATGTTTATATATCCAAATGTTCTTTGGACTTTTGTTTTAAAATCTATACTTCTTAAATATGTTGCATATTTTGAATATCTTTGATTTTTCTCCTTGTTTGGTGAGGAGTAAGTAGTTTGGAAATAAATTTAAGAAGGCTGTTTTAAACGTAAAAGTATTGACAAGTATCTACACACTGGGTTAGATGAAAGCAAAAAATAAGAAAGTTTCACAACATCTAAGCTGTGTGGAGCATGTGAAGAGAAAAAACAGAAAACGGTATACTAGTATAAATTCATTTCCATGAAGAGAGAAAGAAAGAGCCACGTCAAAACGTTTACTCTTTTCAATAATGGTTTATATTATAAGTGTAAATATTTTCTAATTTTAACTTTTTATCTGATCCAGGATAAATATACATGAAAGGTTTAATTTAACCAACTTCATTATTTAATGAGCTTTAACAAATCTTATTGTGGCTTATAATCTCGAAATTTTCTGTACACATTATAATTTCCACACATATAAAAATTTAAATTTTTGAAAAACGGTAATATTGAAATCAGAACATTTCCCCCTTTTCGAACGTTTACAGAACGACCAATATAACATTCGGAACGGGTATTGATCGACTCATTCGGAATACCTCGGTCTATGTTTTCATTCACAACCAGGATGTTTCGTCATACCTTACACGCTGGAAATAAATCGTTAACCAAACCAGCATTTAAATATAACGTGTAGATTTAAACCTGTCCGTGCTCTAGTACATGTATATAAAAAGAACCATATTAGCATACAAACTAAATTAAAGCTGAAGCTAAAATCTACATTTCTTAAATAGAACAGAAATATTAGGAACCACGGGTTTATTCTTATCTAAATTAACGACTCTTTTCGAGTCTTTTTCCTCTGGATCACCCTCCAAAATTCTTATGCTTGGTTTAGATGCTGCAGGTAAGATCACAAAGATTTAAAATAAAATAAATAAATAAAAAATGTATTTTCTTCTGTGGTTGAGGATAAAAGTTTTTTTCATGGATTAAATCAAAAGAATTTTAAAATTTTTCATTGTAAACGAAATTCAGTAGATTTATTTTGTTGGTTTGAAAAATTCTTCTGTGATTAAGGACAAAGGTAATACAATTTCATGTATCAAATCAAATATTCAAATTCGGATATGATATTATTAAATTAACTTATTTTAAATTGTACGTATATGAAATAAAATTCAATTTTTTTGTTTAATTAAAAAAGTAAAATTTTTATATATAAACTGAAGACATTTTACTTGTAGGAAAAACAACAATTTTGTACAAGATTAAACTAAATGAAAATGTGTGCACCATTCCCACCATAGGATTTAATGTGGAGACCGTGTCCCCAGTGAAGGGCGTGTCCTTCACTGTATGGGACGTCGGCGGTCAGGATAAAATTAGACCGCTGTGGAACTACTATTTTCAAGGAACAGAGGGTAAGATTTCTTTTTAAAAGTTTTAAACTTTATATTTCATCAAAAATTCATGTTCATTTTAGATAAGTGTTGGTTATGTGTGTCTATCTTATGATTTACAAAAAAAAAATAATAATAAAAATTAAAAACATTTGTTTTAGCAATGGATCTTAATGTTTCATAATTTGTTCTGCTTCATTCTTTTGTTTAGGATTGGTTTACGTGGTGGATAGTAACGACAGAGAAAGAGTCATAGAATCACGAGAAGAACTCTTCAGAATCCTTCAAACTGACGAAATGAGAGGAGTTCCCGTAATGGTTATCGCTAACAAACAAGATCTTCCAAGTACGTCCTATCTTAAACTTAAAAATAACACAAACAATCAAATACTTCTTTCATTATTAATGTAGGGAAAACAATTGCAAGCTTGCAGAAAAAAACTCCTGCAATGTTTATTAGCCCCAGCATCAATAAGCAATAAGATGTTATATTAAATGTATTTCTAAAAAGATTCAAATTCAATATTCAATAAGATGTATTTGTGTTCAAACGTATTTATTAATTCTGTATTACTTATTAATAATCTTTTTATTCTTTAATTTACTTTATATTAATAATAACATTTCTAACATTTTTCGTTCATCTTTCGTTGTAGATGCTCTAAGTACCTCACAGGTAGCTGAAATGATGTGCTTACACAAACTGACGTCACGGAAGTGGTACATTCAATCTGCATGCGCAACAACTGGGGAAGGGATTTTCGATTCAATGCAAGAATTATCAGCAATGGTCAAAGAATATAAGAAAGGACTAAAATGAAGCACATTCAGTTTAACTATGCAGTCGAAAGCAACCACTAAGTGTTCCAAGCAAGCGGTGTGGATATTTGCATACAGAAGATTAATGAATGCGAACCGAGTGTTTTGTTCAATGCTTTGGTCAGAAATCGCTCAAATGAAGGAATTATTTGCCATATTCAGCAATGGTAACTTTCTGCTATAAGACATTAATTGAAATGTTGTTTGCCTTTTCCCATTTTCCTGTAACATGCGTAAAGGGAATATATTGTATTCATCGAAATATTGATAATAGATGTATTATGCACACGTTTTATTCGTAATTAATCATTTAAAAATCTTATACAATTATCAATATTTAACTACTGAGATCATAAAAGCAAAAATGGTTTGAGTTTAATCTTGTACACAATCAAAAATGTCTGAATGAAGGTACAATCATCTGTGTATTTATCAAGGGACGAGAAAACAATTATGTCAACAAAATAGATTAACAATGATTGGCAGTTTTTGTCATGGCTTTATTGATTAATAGTCAAAATGAATTTTCAATACAATGATGTACTCAAGGTATCAATACAATGATGTACATAAGGTATCAATGCAATGATGTACCCAAAGTGTATATTGAATAACTGCTACTAAATGGGTGCAATGATATTCAATGATAGTTCAATGATATTCAATGATATGCAACAATATTCAACGATATTCAATGATATGCAATGATATTAAATGATACAACAATATTCAAAGATTTTCAATTCAATGATATTCAATGATACAACAATATTCAATGATATTCAATGATACAACAATATTCAATGATATTAATGATACAACAATATTCAATGATATACAATTATATTCAATGATGTGCAACAATATTCAATGAAATTCAATGATATACAATGATATTCTACGATATACAATGATACCTGCATTGCAATAAGCAGGTAACGATGTATTACCAGGACCATGAACTACATCGACTTTTTCAACAGTGAATGATGTAGAAGGTTCATAGAATGACATAAGCCCAATTATTGGCCACGGACCCTGGAAGATAACAGGATCAGTAGCGAGCTTCTAATTCGGTTCACAGTCCGTAAGAAGTCCAAGTGCACTGTAGTTGAATCGAATTTAACGGATTCTTCTGCTGGTAGCCAAGTGGAACGGATGTAACGGATTCATCTGCTGGTAGCCAGGGAATCAAATGTAATGGATTCTTCTTTTGGTAGCCAAGTGGAAATGTAATGGAATCTTCTGCTGGTAGTCAAGGGAAAAGGATGTAACGCATTCTTCTGTTGGTAGCCAAGGGAATGGATGACGACTGAAAAAAGAAATCAAAGACAGCAGCAACAAGTTTGTCAAAACAAAATAACAACTTATTAAAATCTGGTGAATGGGCAGGGTGAGTGGGATGCTGAGCTTCAATGGATAACAGATGGAAAAGGAAGAGCAAAATGCACATGCGTAATGGATGTGGCTAAGCAGTTATATACATTTGCATGAGAGTTATCTTTCCTGGACCATATCTCTATTTGTCTCCATAACGTGACTTAACTCATATTGAGTTAAGTCTGATTATGTAAACAAAATAGATTAACAATGATTGGCAGTTTTTGTCATGGCTTTATTGATTAATAGTCAAAACGAATTACCAATACAATGATGTACTCAAGGTATCAACACAATGATGTGCATAAGGTATCAATGCAATGATGTACCCAAAGTGTATATTGAATAACTGCTACTAAATGGGTACAATGATATTCAATGATAGTTCAATGGTATTCAATGATATTCAATGATATGCAACAATATTCAACGATATTCAATGATTTGCAATGATATTTAATGATACAATAATATTCAATGATATTCAATTCAATGATATTCAATGATACAACAATATTCAATGATATTCAATGATATACAACTATATTCAATATATCTTTATTTGTCTTCATAACGTGACTTAACTCATATTGAGTTAAGTCTGATTATTAGCAATTTTAGTTATTCGTATTCAAGAGTAAATCTGGTAATAATTTGTTTTGAATGAAATATGAAGATAACGAAGGGCAACCAAGCCAAAAGTCTATTATATAGAACAATACAAAACAATACAGACCGAGCGTAAAGCAATCAGAAACCTCTAAAATATCATAGATGAAATAAAATACAATGGAAGAGTAAGCATACCATATAGATTAGTCGCATCGTGTTCTCCGTTTCATGATAGGGCATACAAAAAGTAGACAATTTGGTGTGAAAATAATGGCTTAATTAACAATTTGTATGAAAAACATCAGTCAACATTTAAGTTATGTAAGCTAAATTGTATTTGCTGACCAGTTGATTTTATCGACCATAGACTTTGCAAAATGAGACTGAACATTGATTTCATTTTGTCAATACTTTGCCTTGTTTAAGCAATTGCTCGTAGAGCATGCACTTGAGTATGAAATCAACTGCGAGACAAAGACTCCATAAACGGTATAAATTTGCAAAATGTTGACTTTGAAGAGTTTATATCATTGTATCATGAACTTATTTGTCACTAGCTTGCCATGTTTTAGAATTTGTTCTTAAGTATGGGTATGCTCTTGAGTAACGAATCAGCTGAAACAAAAACAAAAAAATTCCTACTCAGGTGATTAAGGTTTAAGTAGTTTCAAAAAAAGGTGACGATTGAACGTTCATTGAATCACATTTATCATAATGTTTTGATGTTAGGTATTTTAAAATCTATTCTAAAGCATACGTAACCGGGGCATCTATGCATCCCCACACCATGAAGAATCTCACATCGAGACAGTCTCTCTTGACTATACATGCTCCCGCAAAGCATATTCCACAACGTCTGAAACCATGGTTTCAGCAATCTTTCCGGTGAAGAGTGATTCTAGAAAGTAAACAGCACCATTCTTCGTTGTTTCATACTGGGATAAATGGTTTATGACGCTTCAACCAATCAAATTGCATCGATCCTCCATCTTTCATCATTTAGTCGAAGTTTCCTGGCCTTTTCATCCCACTTTCGAAAATTTCCTCTCATACTAAAATGTGTTCTAGCATTTCTGTGTGGTTATACTTTTGCGAATTCATAACATAAAAAATACAATGAAGTTTGATTACGTCAATCAGTATGTTGTTTTTTTCCTTCCCGGTATATTCAAATACCTGTTTTTAAACGGTACATTCGGAAGTATCTCGGTTTTAATGTTCACAAGGTGTTTTTTCATACCTGCCACGGTGGAAATGTATGGTGTAAAACAATACTGATCGGATATATACACGTGCAGGGATGTAGAAAGTCTCATATTTTTCTTTTATCACAAAAGATTAAAAAAAAATATGGGTTCATTTATATCCAAATTAACGAAAGTATTCGAGTCTTTTTCTCCAGGATCACGGGCTAGAATAATTATGCTTGGTTTAGATAATTCAGGTATGATAAATTGTTTTTTAAAGATATTGTACTTTGAAATGTTACATAACGATATTTACCAAATGTACGAAATAAATGTGTTTTTTTTTCAATCTTTATCTATTTATTTTTACAGTCTTTTTTGATTTTAGCTTCCATTATTTAAATTTACTAGTTATATGACATTTGTAAATATTGTGAATTATTTCCTGCTGATATCGGATATTATTATTTCCTTTGCAGGTAAAACGACGATTTTATACAAACTCAAACTGAATGAACATATAAGGGATATACCTACTGTAGGATTCAATGTAGAGACGCTGTCCCCTGTTAAGGGCGTGACCTTTACTGTGTTTGATGTGGGGGGTCAGGAGAGGCTACGATCACTTTGGAGACACTACTACCAGGGGTCAGAAGGTAGGCTAGGGGACACCTTTTTCAGTATTTTTCTATGATTCTATTATTATATTCTATGATTGAAAAAATAAGTCTTACATACACATGGGTATTTTTACAATAATTGATTGGTCGTCAGTATTTCAGCTATATTTCAGTGGGTCAATTTAGTTTATATGATCAGTTTATGAAGGGTTTTAATTTCCATGGCTGCCCCCTGTGAGCCTGCTCTTTTTCAGAAACCAGAGAAATGATCATTTTTATTTTGCCAGGATGTTGTAATCCTTCACATGAGGACTATTAGTATTTAACGTTTCATTCGACAGACTTCAACTGAAAAAAAAAAAAAAAATTTCTACAAAGAAAAAAAATCTAATGGTCAGTTTATAAGTCCGAAAAGTAAAAATAACTTTATTGGAATTCTGACCGAGAAGTGATTTTTCATACACAAAATATGGTTCGTCGTGATTTTTTTTTAAGGTTTAGTGTATGTGGTGGATAGTAACGACAGAGAAAGAATAGAAGAATCACGCAAAGAATTGTTTGGAATTCTACAAGATGACGACATGAATGGAGTCCCAGTGGTGATCATTGCTAACAAACAAGATCTTCCAAGTACTTTATTATTTACACATAATAAAACATTTCATAAGGAAGTTTGTTATTTTGATTAAATTTGTATATAATAATAAAATTCTATATATTTTCAAAATATGATATACTAGTACATTTGCATTTTACCTTCGAAAACTAGCAGTTTTATTTTGATCTATTAAAAGTTATTTATACAACATTTTTCAAATAATAATGTTATTTATAGACGCAATAAGAACTCCAGAGATGACAGAAATGATGTGTTTGCACAAACTGACGTCAAGAAAATGGTTCATCCAATCAGCTGTTGCAACAACGGGAGAAGGAATCTACGAGTCAATGAAAGAATTATCAGCTATGGTCAAGGACTTCAAAAAGAACGCAAATAAATCCTGATCATTACATGCATGCATACCTTCATAAAATCACTACAGCATCATCTGTTCAAACCTAACCAAGCTTAAAAATGCCATCTGGAATTCAATAAACTATACACATTACCAACAGTGTTTATTATGGCTTAATTTTCTTATTATTTACTATTTACTACATTTATGTAGAATATTAATTTTTTATTTAGATTTCAATGTAGATTTCATATATTTCGCTGAGAAAATATGTAATGCACACACAACAACAGTCATGTTCAAAGCCTACTGTATAAGTCATACCATTTAGGTGTAAGATAACATAGGGCTGAAATGTGTTAGAGGTAGGACGTAAAGACTGAGTACCCTGAGCGGCTGGGTAGGATCTTTGAATCAGAAATTGCCGAGAAAATCTTGTTTGTACTTCTGAATTGTTCTGCGATGATAAATATCTTGACATACCTGGTATCACTTTTTGAAACATAATGATTTAAGTCTACTTTGTTTTTTCCCTTTAATATGTATTGAATTAGCAGTCTTGTAAACTGTGCCTTTTATATCTTGATTCAATTATTTGTACTTAAGGTTGTAATAAATATCTCAAATCAGTTTTGTTCGCTGATATATGTATGCCCTCTATTTAAAAAAACTTCCTTATACTTTATAACGAATAATAATAATCATATCTGATTCACTCATTTTACACAATGAAGGATGTTTGACTGAATGTGCAGTCAGCCGCGAATTTAATTGAGGTACTAAATTATTTTAAGAAAAATATTTAAGATAACTAGTAATGTAACCATAGCAGAGTTTCACTATAAATTTTTATCTTTAAGAAATTCTGTTGTAATTTGTAATACATTTCTTCAAAATTATATATTCTATGTTGAAAACCTTTTTTACATAGGTGAGTTCTATCTACCCTTTAAATCCTGAATTGCAAAACTTCATAGAAATCAATACAAAGATACATTTTAGGTCCAGATTTTTTTTTTACCGATTATAAGCACATTTTTAAAACTTAAAATTATTTACAGTCAAGGAGAAACTTCAGACGCACTGTGCTTAAGCATATTTTAGGAGTGGTTTAAAATAAATGTAGATTCTAAAAATCTCCAAAACCAAAAAAAAAAACAAATTGAAAATGACAAAATGTTACAAAATATAAAAAAATAAGTAAAAAACTTAAAAACACACGAAAATTCTTCACATTATACAAGCATTCCGCCGGATTAAATGAAATAAAGGAATTTTTGATACTATAGAGAACTACTTCTTCAATAAAAAACAGAAATTTTATGTATCTTACGATTGGTCATCAAGAAAATGACTTTGCTTAAAATCACTCTGAATTTACTAAAAGCTCTTCTTAAGTTGGTACCCATATGAACTCGAAATAAAAGTTACCACAGAGTCTGACACATGTGTTTTATATTGTATGATTTACTGGGAAAAGTACGGAAGCCCATTTAGGACCTATAAAAATATTTTTTTAATTTGATATAACGAATTGTCGAATTTGTTATAACGAAATTAATTCATTACAACAATTTCTTTGAATTTTTTATAACGATTTTAATATGTTAAAACAAATCTGTTGAATTTATTATAACGAATTCTGTAATTTGTTATAACGAATTAAATTCGTTTAAACAAATTTCAAAGTTTGTTATAACAAATTTAATTCGTTTAAACAAATTCCAAAGTTAGTTACCACGAATTAAATTCGTTTAATCAAATTCAATTATAAGGGTCTATAAGTAAATATATATGAATTCGATATAACGATTTGTCGAATTCGTTTTAACGAATTTAATTCGTTATAACAAATTATGGAATTCGTTTAAACGAATTCAATTCGTTATAACAAGTTTTAGAATCTGTTAAAACGACTTTAATTCGTATTAACAAATTTTTGAATTCGTTATAACGAAATCAACAAATTCGTTATAACAGATTTAATTCATTATAACGAATTCAAAGAAATTGTTACATCGAATAAAAATTCGTTATAACAAATTCGACAATTCGTTATATCGGAATCAAAACTATTTTTCGATAGTTCCTACATGGGCTTCCGTAGAAAAGAAATAAATGGTAACCAAACAACGGCTATTTTACCGTAAACTTCCCCTATTTATGTAGTAATATACCTTTATCAATTGCATATGCAGGGTGTGTCTGCGAGTTAAGCATGCTTTACGTACGATCAATTTCTAGATCTAGATAAGCTTTGACAAGTTGAGGAAACAAGGGCTTCAACACTCTCGTTTAAAGGCAACATTTCTCAAGGTCTATGGTCGATACCATTATCTTTTCAGCAAAAACAATCTATCACTAAGTCGAATGTTGACTTAAAATTTTTCATAAATAATTTAGGCCATTATTTTCACACTGAAACGTTTAGGTCCGGGCTATAGATCTTTCCGTTTGCCTGTTCATCACAAGAAGCACACGGTGAAAGTGAATGGTCTACAGAGAAGCCTACTCCTCCACGACACTTGATCCCACCTCTGATGAATTCAGAGGTCGGCGTTTGTTATATTCCAAGTTTACTAGTATAAAGTTTCAATTGACTCTTTAGCATTATTACTGTTCGTTATCTCTATAATAGGTTTCTAAAGAGTGTTAGAGTTCCTCACTGATGACATTCATGTATCGTCGTATATACATGTAGGACTTTTCAGTTTGGAAAACTGTTCGTTAGCTTCATATTTCATTGCATATAAGCAGAATTGTTCGCGAGAGTTAAATTTTGAATTTATTAGCGAGTGTGTTGAGATCGCTACGCTAAAAGTGAATATCGCTTAAAATTAATTGCGTTTTAGATGGAAAAAGTCTTAAGTGAGCATTTTAAAATCTCTAAAATTACATCTCGCTAAAAATAAAATACCAATTTTTAAATGGACAATATCATTTATTATATATTACCTCGATGTGGTTGTGATCCAATACAAAGAAGTTTGGACAATTTTAAGATCAGTGCAATTCTAAAGATTATTTGTTGAGAAATCGGGTGAAATTTGATGGTTTGATCAGGAATTCAAAGAATAACAATGTTCAGGATAACATAAAAATAAAATTCTAACTAGAAAATCCAATTTTTACTGGAGGACATGAGAAGGGAGAATTGTTACATTTTGACAAGGAAACACTTTGAATTGTATTTTTAGATTTAAAAAAATGCTGTCGATACAGGTGTTTTACACATTCCTGAGATCAAATTTCTTAGCTATTCAGAGGCTGAGGATAAACCCAAAATTGAAATCTTAGTAAAAGTTTTTCATTGCAAAATAAATCTTGCAGAGGACGTATTTATTTCTTGTCGAGGTGCATACAAGTGTATATACAACGTAGCCCGAATAATAAATTCATTATATAAAAATAAACAGTTTTGAACTCCGTGAACTATATGTTCAGAAACATTAAATATTGATACCAAACATTACATTGAAAGTATATAAACAGTCAATGTACAAGAATTTTCCTTCCTGATACACCTCAAGATAATAAACTGTAGAATACACAACTTCCTGTTTGTAAGTGAACAAAAAGATATTTCGTCACACCTTCCACGCTGGACAAGCCAGCATTAACACAATTTTGGTAAATTAAATCACGTGACAGATCGAGTTTATATGTAATAATGGCTACAAGGATGTATGGCTTTAGAAAAAAAAACATCTAAGATTTGTCTATTAATTCAACGTAAGGAAATTATATTACAAAAGCCATGGGTGTAGTATTGTCAAAATTGGCGGCACTCTTAGAATCTTTTTCTTCTGGACCACCAGCCAAAATCCTTATGCTTGGTTTAGATGCTGCAGGTATAATGTATTTCTTTCTTTAACTTTTGAAATGTAATACATTTTTAAAGCATTTATTAAAAATATGTAATAAAATTGATGTTTTAAAAATATTGATTAGCCAATTTAGAAATACATGTATCTGAAAAATAAATTAATGAAGCTTACAGAAAGTATATTTTAAGTTAGAATTGAAATATATGTTTAATTCGCTGATTTTCCTCTGATTTCACTGCTATACCTTTTTTATTATTTAAGGAAAAACGACGATTTTATACAAGATAAAACTAAACGAGACTGTAAGCACTATTCCTACGATAGGATTTAACGTTGAGACCGTGTCCCCAGTGAAGGGCGTGTCATTTACTGTATGGGACGTCGCGGGGCAGGACAGGTACCGACAACTGTGGAGGTACTACTACCAGGCATCAGAGGGTAAGGACCTACAGTTTTTTACCCTAGATAACCCATCAACTGTCACAAGTCGTTTTGTTTCTGCGAAGGTATAATACATTATATAATACATACTTTTGTCTTAAGGCTTAGTATTTGTTGTGGACAGTAACGACAGAGAAAGAATTGTCGAGTCACGTGACGAACTGTTTGGAATTCTACAATATGATGAAATGAGAGGAGTTCCAGTCGTGATTATAGCTAACAAGCAAGATCTTCCAAGTATGTTTTTTTACATTTTCTAAACCTTTTGATTTAAAATGGGCATAATTTAATCGATCTAACTTATTTATTTATTTCCTAGTAATGAATTTACTTTGCACAATGTTGTCTTAATACAGCCAAATACAACAAGGAATAGTTTTTAGCCAAATAGAATTAAGATGCACAAATATGTTTCATTACTTAGTCTAGCCCCATTGTGAATAATTTTTGATTTTCATAAAATAATCACTGGTCCCAAGGGCAGGTGTTCTTTACAGGGCAGTTTACAAAATAAAACCAAGAGATTAGCAAGATGTTCTCTTTTCAACTTCATCTATTACTTAATATTTCAAAAAAGTTATTTCATATTATCCCTTTTGGCATGTTTATAGACTTACATTTTTTTGTCTTTATATTTATTTATCAAAAACAGAATCAAGATAAAATATGAAAAGTTTAAGCGGTAAAAGTGTGTTAAACAGAGTAAAATCAATAAAAAGAAGGAAGTCTTCTATATTTATTCATTTACCTGTCTATTTAAATCTAATATAAATACAGGTTTTTATTACATTTCCTGTTAATTTGCTCAAGACCAACGTCTATCAAAATGACAAAAAGTACAAACACATGAATTTCTTCATTTAGTCTGTCTAGTCCATAATTTGATTGTAAATATATAGTCAGCAGGGATGCTCACTCCTCCATGGTACCTGATCCCACTTATGATGTTTTGAGGTTCATTTTTGCTCTACTCCTAATTTGTATTGTTTAAAGGATTTTGAATACTGTTCGTTATCTCCATATATTTCATTGCATATCGATAAAACAATCGGGCCCTGCAGGGCTGATAACCTATATCAGCCCCGCAAATCCATATCAGCCCTGCAGAGCTGATACATCTATTGTGATGTCAATATCACACCCTTAGTAAATTAAACCACAAAAACAGTACTTGTGATCATACACAAGTTCATATTCTCTTATTTTTAACTTTAAAAAAAATAAGGTTAATCTTAATTTTCAATGTAATAGATTATTTTCAAATTACGGATCGAGTGCATTGAAATAGGAGTAGAAACAAACCCAAATCGTATGAGACAATAAGTCATGTACATGTATGTAAGAAGTCCACATGATTATTTACTTCCCTCAACGTAATGTATGCTTTTTTAGCCTTTTTGGCTGATATTGGTGTCTCGGGCTGATACAGGATGTGATATGGAAAAGGGTATGTATTATTGTCTATATATTTCATTTATAAAAACAACTAATTTTTCTCCGATCCTAGCATTTTATACTGATTCCAAAAGTAAAAGTAAACTCATTATTTTTCGTAATACTGTAATTTATATTTATATAGAACTGTTAGAGTCGTCTCATTTGCCATTTCCCTGATCCATTTTTTAGCCTTTTTTGTCGCTGTATCTATTCTAAACTTAACTCTTGAATTCCATTGTAGACGCTCTAAGTCCCTCAGACATGGCAGAAATGATGGGTTTGCACAAACTGACGTCACGAAAATGGTTCATTCAATCTGCATGCGCTACAACCGGCGAGGGAATCTACGAGTCTATGCGAGAATTATCAACTTTGGTCCAAGACTTTAAGAAAACAAAGAGATAAAACCTTATTATTACAATCTTTCAAGTTGATTCGATACTTGTCCTCTTGGAAAGCTACCCGTGTGTATGCTATAAGATGAAACCTGAATAAGAGTGCCATCTGTGACCTATGAAGTTATCATGGCTTGATTTAAATTATTTATAGTATCAACATCTTTTTTTAGGAAATAGGAAAATCCTAAGGATCATAAACTTTAAAAAGGTTTCCTAAGGTATTTTCCATGCATTCTTGATCAACAATCATATTACCTGTCTTGCAAATGCACCATCTCTTAAAACTTTAAGCTTATTCAGAAAATATAAGTCACAAGAAATAAACCTAATCCATGATGCAAAAGTCCACCCCATTAGCTAAGGCAAGACTTTTAGGTAATTGACAATAGTTCATAATATGTTTGCTTACACCCTGTCATTGGTCATTTGCAAAACTATTTTGTGAAAACATTCTGTTTATACAGAAAAATAACGTTTATATTTAAAAGGTGTTTCTAAATGATAATGTCTTTGTGAGTTTTTTTTATATATTTAAAAGATGTTTCAATATTTGAATATTTAACTTTAAAAGGACACAAACAGTAACCTTACATTAAAGCGTTTTTATGATGACTTCAACTTTTCAATCATCAGCTCCTCTAAATGAGAATTTGAGCTGCGCCTTCTTAAGCATCTTTAAACGTTATTTACAAGAGTTGTCGGTAAAATCATTTTTTCTTAATGACATCCATTGGATAAATGATCAAATAAAATATGAGAATTTATTTTCATGTGTGGTATCGCCATCAGGCGCATGAATGATAACTTCAAAGCGTCCAAAGCAGCGTCAAGTTTCTTTTTTTTTCTAGAAAAAAAGCTCTCTACGGTTTTATCGGACAACCCACTTACATCCAACAGACCTGATTATCTTGCTTTAAAATTAGTTTATGTGCTGTACAGCATAAATTTCAATACGCTAATGTACATTTCAAAATACTTGTAAAATGATTTAAAAATATTGTACTGTAATCTATTGTTGTTTGTATCAGATAAACATTCCAAAAACATATTTATCTATAAGAAAATATTTTTTGTAATTTAAATCATATGAAGCATAATTATAGTTTCTATCATTGAAATTTTTTCAACCTTGCATACATCTCAGAACTTGGAAATAAAAAAAGTATTATCTCTGTGAAATTTTGCATTAATTAAGTAGAATTTAATTTAATTATTTTCCCAATGTCTATAAATATTTTTTCAAACAAATATGCTAATCTCTTTAAATATAGCACATATTTTCACCAGATTCAAACAACTATCTGTGGAAAATTGCATTCTAATTTTACGTTAAATAATTGAATCCATCATCATTAGAATAATGCCATACATACAATGTAAGTGGCCTTTGCCTTTGGAATATATGAGTAAACCCGCAGTCCGCGCAATATTGTGTTTTAAAATATACGTATGTACGTTTACAATGTATGAACGTAAAATCAATTAACAATTATAGTTACATGTATTTCCATGCATATGGAATTAAGTATACCTTTCAAATGTTCCCAGTGAGTTCATTTGATTTTTATATGAAATATGAAAGTAACAAAACAAAAATAACTTTGGCACATCTCGAAAACCAAAATAAAGTTTTATGGGCCACATCGCTCACCTGAGCACTAAGGGTAGGAAAAAGTAGAAAATGGCTTTTTATTGTAAAGTTTTTGGCCCCGCCCTACCCCCGGGGGTCATGATTTGAACAAACTTGAATCTACACTACCTGAGCATGCTTCCATATAAATATGATATGGCTTTGTCAAGAAGATTTTTAAAGAACTATATATCAACAGGAACCTTACATTAATTAGCTTTGTCATTTTGAGAAGAAAATTTTTAAAGAATTTTGATATATTTCTATGTAAAACTTTTGAATCCATCATCATTAGAATAATGCCATACTTGAGAAGAAGATTTTTAAAGAACTATATAATGTAAAAGTGGCCATTTTGCCGCCCTAACCCCGGGGGTCATGATTTGAACAAACTTGAATCTACACTACCTGAGCATGCTTCCATATAAATATGATGAATATATGAGAAGAAGATTTTTAAACCATTTCTATGCAGTCAAACGCATGCTTCCATATAAATAATATTATGTTTTAAAATATACGTATGTACGTTTACAATGTATGAACAAAAAATTATTTTTTTTGCTTGAGAAGAAGATTTTTAAAGAATTTTTATATATTTCTATGTAAAACTTTGGTCGGCCATCCCTTAAGTTAGATTTGAACAAATATCTACACTGCATGCTTCCATATAAATATGATGAATTATGGCTTTGTCATTCTTGAAAAAAGATTTTTAAAGTGTAAAACATGTAGGCCTATCCATATAAATATGATGAAATATTCTGAGAAGAAGATTTAGCATATTCAGTAGGATGACATTTGTTATTTATATGTTATTTTAAAACAATGCATGGTATACCTTTTTTCTACTTTGTTTGTTCATTTGATTTTTATATGAGAAACTTATCTTGAAAGTAACAAAACAAAAATAACTTTGTTTTATCGAAAACCAAAATTGTAAAGTTTTCAAATAAATGCGTTGTATTCCTTATCTGAATATATTTCCTTGTAAGTGGGGAAATGAAATGTAAAATGATTTGAAGAAGATACGATTTGTCAAATAAAATTTGAAAATTATATTTTATAATTAATAATCAATTTTAAACTTCAACGTTGAATAAAAGATGACTCGACTTAGAATATATGATAATAGATATTAAATATCAGTAATAAATCATCAATATTTCACTGCTATAAAATTTGTAATAAATAATCAATTTTAAACTTAAATGTTAATAAAAGATCTGACGCACACAATTATATACATGTATATCGGAAATCCGTGCATGTATACGAATATATATGGGTATGGGTAGTTTATAATGACATTGATCTTAACCAAACATTATATAAAATGTAACCAAGCTTAGATTTCAAATTAGTTATATATAATTAATGTCTTCTGGATTAAGAATTTTCTTTCCTGACATAAATAAAGTATTCGGAACATTCAGTTCGGAATACCTCGGTTTGTTTACATTGGATATAACAACAAAGTGTTTCGTCATACCTTCCACGCTGGACGAGCCAGCATTTAAATGGGTCGTGTAGATTTTAACATGTCACTGATCTACTATATATACTCCTACATTTGACATTTGAAATTATAATAAAAGAATCCAGTACCTGTCTATATAAATCGAAGTAGGAAAATAAAAAGATCATGGGTCTATTTTTATCAAAGCTAACTACTCTGTTCGAGTCTTTTTCTTCTGGATCACCAGCTAGAATTGTTATGCTCGGTTTAGATGCTGCAGGTATGTTTCGTTAAAATGTTTTAAAACATTACAAATAAGTATATACGTTTGATTTTAAACTTATTGCTTCAATATGCAATTTTTACATAATTATTTGACAAAGATCAATTTGTTTATTATTTTTACTAACGCAGTAATATACATAACATTTATTACAAAAATATGAATTTCACTTTTAAATTTGCTTCATTTAATTGGAGAGTATTTTTTATTTCAGGAAAAACGACGATCTTGTATAAAATTAAATTGAATGAGAATGTCTGCACCATTCCCACGATAGGATTTAACGTAGAGACTGTGTCACCAGTAAAGGGCGTGTCTTTTACTGTGTGGGACGTCGGTGGACAAGACAGGATCAGACCACTGTGGAAACATTACTACCAAAACACTGAGGGTAGGTCTTAAATTACATTTATACATTGTTATTGCAATTAAACATTTCCACTCTCCTTATTTGTGTAACAATCTTTTTATAAGTATAAGAAAGATGTATCATTTGTTAATTTATAAAATAGTCTTTAAAAGTTTTAAAGAAGGAAAGGACTTCAAAGAATCTAATAAATAACGAAATGGCAAGAGATTTCAATTCAAAAACACCTTAATTTCTATGTGCTGTTGATAACTGTAGGTTTAGTGTATGTGGTGGACAGTAACGACAGAGAAAGAATTGTCGAGTCACGTGAAGAACTGTTTGGAATTCTACAATATGACGAGATGAGAGGAGTTCCAGTGGTGGTTATAGCTAACAAGCAAGATCTTCCAAGTATGTATTCTTCCATTAATATATGAAATATTCAAACCTTAATGGGGATATTGTTTCCTTTTATTAACATGATTAAGATAGATACACTTCAATTTTTAAAGTTTGATCATTTTCAATATTAATGATCATCATAAATACATATACTTAAAGTATACAGAGATACCGGTATTCTATCACCTATATGCACAGATACCTACTGTTAAACTATGTATTGTTATGGCGTATTTTATTCCTTTGTAGATGCTCTAAGTACTTCTGAGGTGGCAGAAATGCTGTGCTTGCACAAACTGACGTCACGAAAATGGTTCATTCAGTCCGCATGTGCAACAACAGGCGAGGGAATATATGAGGCTATGAGCGAATTATCTTCTATGGTCAAAGACTACAAAAAATCACTGAAATAAAAATAATACCTGTATGAGATCCACCACAGTGTGTTCCTACGAAAGCTACCCGTGTGTATGCTATCACCTGAAGCCATGGCCAAGTGTGTAATCTGCACCTATGACATGTACGTCGCAAGTAGACTGCATCATGTTTAACAATGATGATCTACCAGTAAACAATGTTCGTAACATTTCAAATCCATGATGAATTTTCAATCATTATTCTATGGTGCAAAATACATTTATTCCTTTGAAGGAAGCAAGATTCGACTCGCATTTTATATATATTGTTATTTTGCATTATGTTTCTGTTTATTGAAATAAAATATTTATGTTCATCAACCTGATTTTGCTTGCTTTTTATCCACCTGTATATTTATATTTTCATCACAACGAATATCAATGTTTTGCAATACAGCAAGTGTGTTTTTGGTATAAAAGGATACATAACTTTAGCATATATCTTTGTATTTATGGAGGCTACTTTGTCCTTATTTTAAAATCACTTTTCTTTAAAGTAAAATTAATATTATTGGAAATGATTTATACAAAATGAACTATCATTTATTAAAAATGAAACATATAATTCCTAATGCTTCAAGAAATTGTAAAATAAAATCCCTTTCGTGTTCATCTCGTATCAGTAAAATCTTGCACTTATATTTTAAATCAATTTCTTTACCTATTTTCGATATATATAAGAATAATGTTAGATGTGATATGTTAATTACACTCGAGAGACTCTCTCTAGATCTACTCCCTAAATTAAAATTATGTTATATTAATGAAATATGTTTTTGTAAAAATTGATAAACTTTTTAAAAAATATTTTTTAAATCTTTATATCAAGAAAAAAATTCCGTCAGCACAATTTGATTGGGTCGGTCACGTTAAGGAAAACAAAGGTATTTTTCATTTTGGTCTCATATACTGTAGTTTATTTTTTCTATTATTGATTTTTTTGCCTTGTATGATGTATCTTAGAACTTGGAAATAAAAATATAATTACTTTGAAATTTTTGCATTTACTAGGTGAAATGTAATTTATTTTTTTTTTAATATCTATCATTATTTTTAACACATATGCAAATTTCTCTATATATTGCACATATTTTCATAAGATTCAAACAACGATCCGTGGAACCATAGAACTTAAGAAATGATGACTTTAATAAACAGATATTAATTCATGTTTCATCAACATTTTTGTCATTAATTCACCTTGTTTTAGAAATTGTACATTCGTAGAGCATCTTCTTAGGTATCGAATCAATTAAGATATATAAACCACGTATACAAGTGATGAAAGTATATGTCTACACAAGTAAGCGAAGTTGACGATTGAAAAGTGAAGTCATCACGTTCATCATAAAGCTTGGTTGTTTGATGTCCAACTAAAAACTTACTACGCCCTTACCCTAAACTGTTTTGTTTTTTTTACTTTCATGTATAAGATTTTGGACAAATACTAATAAAAAAAATAGGTATGCTAATAATGGGGCGTAACAGGTACCCCAGCGATTTCCGAAAGATTGTCGGAAGAACTGGTCTCTAAAACAACATAGATATTGTCAATCAGAAACTCAAGCATCTTTTTAATGACAACTTCTGAGTACTACTCTAGTGTTTACTTGTATTTACAATCATAATGTTTCAACAAAATAATTTTGCAAATATGCCTACCATGTAATTGGTCTTTGCTTTAGAATAGATGAGAAAAACCGCAGTCCGCTCAATATTGTGTTTTAAAAAATACAAGTACATTTACATTTGTATATACATGTATTAAAAAAGTTATTTTTCAAATATCATATATTGCTTGCACCTCTATCCATTAAGTTAGGAGCAAATATATTAAATCTCTTAAAGATTACTTTTTTCCAAATAATGATACTAAATTTTGCATATTCGGGTAGGATGAAAGAACTATATGCGGTATTAACCAACATTTGCCCCCCCAAAATCAAACTTTGATGGAGTAATATTTAATTAAGTCCTTAAACAGGGGAGTATATGCTGACTTCAAAGCACTAAATAATTTCATAAGTAATGACGTCATATGTACGTAATGACGTCACAAATATGACGTAAATTTCAGTTTTTTATGAATTTTGCAGAAAAATGTACATATTTCGTCGATATTTTAAATAAAAGTCACCGAGCGCATGTGTGTTCAGGATTAATATTTTGATATAATGTGTAGAATGATAATATCAATGAAATATGTCAATATTATTCCTGAACACACATGCGCTCTATAAATTCTAAAGCTTAAATTGTTGAAATTTTGTCAATTTTGTCCTCTTTCTGAAAAAGGATATAAAATTGTTCATAAAAACAGAAATTGTGAATACAATGCTCTGGAACTATAATATTTTCTGTTAACTTATATTTCTCGTACAATTTATTGAATTCAGCACATTTCAGGAAGTTTTCAAAATTTGACTTTTGTGGGGGCAAACATATGCAATATACCGCATATAGTTCTTTATTATTTGTATGTAATTTTAAAACAATACATGGTTAACCTTGAGTCAAATGTTCAAAATTTTATAATCTAAGGAGCTTGTTTCTACCTTGTTTGTGTATGTGATTTCTATATGAGAAAATCATCTTGAGAGTAACAAAACAAAACAAAAATAACCTTCTAGTTTAATTGAAATCCTAGAATTGTGAAATATAAAATGTTTTGTCTTCCTTATTCGAATAAGTATTTCCTTATAAATAAAAGTTGGAAATTGAAAGGTAAATAAATGAGTGATCGAGACACGACTTGTCAAACAAATTTATTTTAAAAAGTATAAAATGCATTTATAATAAACGATCAGTTTGAAGCTAAGGAGTTGAATAAGATAATCTAGGCAATTATATGCTTTGAATATATATAAATAATCAATATTTCGTATTTTACTGATATATAGACTCGTATAAAAATAACTCTGACGCACACATTTATACATAGATCGGAAATCCGTACATGTAAACGAGTATGTCAGTCATTAACAGTAGAGTTTGCATTGATCTTGATCTTTATCAAATCAACCTAACACTATATTATAATGTTACCAAGCTTAGATTACAAATTAATTAATTGGACGAAAATTTAGTGGACAGTTTCATCCTTAACATAAATAAGTTATTCGGAGCATTCAGTTCGGAATACCTCGGGTGTTTAAATTGGATTTCACATCAAAGTGTTTCGTCATACCTTCCACGCTGGACAAGCCAGCATTTAAATGGGTCGTGTAGATTTTAACATGTCAATGATCTAGTATATATACTATTGCATTTGATATATGAATTTATAATAAAAGGAATCCTATACTTGTCTATTTAAATCGGAATAGTAAAATAAAAAGATCATGGGTCCAATTTTATCAAAGTTAACTACTCTGTTCGAGTCTTTCTCTTCTGGATCACCAGCTAGAATTGTAATGCTGGGTTTGGATGCTGCAGGTATGTTTTGTTAAAACGATTTTAAATACTGCTCATGCATAACGTTTGATATTATAACACATTGCTTGCAATTATTTGTATCACAGTCGTCTATTTATTCAATGTTAAAATATAGATAGTATATCTATTGTTTAAATATGAATTAATTTTTTTTTCTCTTCGCTTGATTTTATGGAGAATATTTCTAATTCCAGGAAAAACGACGATCTTATATAAAATTAAACTGAATGAGAATGTGAGTACCATACCCACCATAGGATTTCACACACGAATGGGTACACAAAGGAAACCTAAATCCCAAAATTAATGTCCCCGAAAAAAAATATAAAGGGTGTGTCTTTTATTTCTGTGTGGGACATCTTGTGGAAGAGAATTGATTTTTATATTTGAAATGGTCAGGATAAAATTAGACCATTGTGGAAACATTATTACCAAAACACTGAAGGTAAGTCTTAAATTACATTCATATATTAGTTTGCAATATTATTGATTTGTTGTTAACTTTTGCAATATTAATTGATTTGTTGTTGATAATTTTAAAAAAAGTATGCATAGGCATTTCTACTTTCATAATGTTTGTAGTTATCTTTTAGTAAAAGAAACATGCTTAATCTATAATTTATCAAATCAGTGTTTCAGAATTTTAAAGAAAGGACTGTAAAGAATGTACATTGTAATCAACACTGAGTTTTCAAGAGATTTTTTTTCGAAAACAGTTTAATTTCTATGTGCTGTTAATAATTGTAGGTTTAGTGTATGTGGTGGACAGTAACGACAGAGAAAGAATTGTCGAGTCACGTGAAGAACTGTTTAACAAAACAGAGAGAAGAATTAAAGCATATATTTAAAAAATGTTTTTATATCAAAAAGTTACCTTTGTTTTTTGAAAGGATGAATATGAGAGGAGATATTCCAATTGTGATTTTAATGACTACATTTTTTTTGTGATTATAGCATTTAACAAGCAAGATCTTCCAAATATAATAAGTGAAAAAAAATGAAATAAAATTAGATACTATCTTTCAAAGGTAATTGATAGAAACATTGTTATCTTGAACTTCATTTTTTAAAAAATCAGAGAGGCATTTGTGCCCTTATATTGAGAATGGGTGTATTAGTTTACGCACCTACTACTAATATCTAGTATTCAGAATATTCAAATCCTCATATGAACCTTTATTTCTTGTCATCAGGTAGATATATTTTAAGTTTAAGTTTTTTAAATAATTATTTTCAAAATTCACAATTTCATTTTTATTTCATCATGGCTACATATAAAGAGAGATATAGATTCAATCAAGGTCATGCATAAATAAGTACTTTTGAACTGTTTTATTTGAGTTCAATATTGATGGTAATTATGTCATATGTAATTCCATTATAGATGCTTTAAGTACCTCTGAAGTTGCAGAACTCTTGTGCTTGCACAAACTGACGTCACGAAAATGGTTCATTCAATCCGCATGTGCAACAACGGGCGAAGGAATCTATGAGTCTATGAGCGAATTATCTTTTATGGTCAAAGACTACAAAAAATCAATGAAATAACATAATACCTGTATAAGATCCGCCACTTGTGTTCCTACGAAAGCTACCCGTATGTATGCTGTCAACTGAAAACCATGACCTAGTGATTTATCTGCATCTATGACAGACACGAGGCAAGTGCATCATGGTTTGATGATAATGCCCTATCAGATAAACAATGTTCGTAACAATATGAATTCATGGCGCATTTTGAATCATAATTGTATGCTGCAAAATACATTTATTCATTTGAAGGAAGCAAGATTTGACTCGCATTTTATATTTATTGTTATTTTGCATGATGAATCTGTGTATTGAATTAAATATTTATGTTCATCAACCTGATTTTTGTTTACTTTATATGCTAAAAAAGCAAGAATTTTTTTTCCGGAAATTCTGATGCAGATATGAATATTCCTTTTATGAAATAAGTATTATTTAATATATGAGGTTAGAAAACTTGCACAAATATCTTTATAATATTGTGTGCAAGGATAATTTTTTTTCCTTATTTTGAAACTACCCTCTTAGAAGTAGAATTAAGAGTAATGGATATATTATGATTTATACAAATTTAATTATCCTTTAATTAAAAAGTGTAAAATGCAAGTCCTAATGCGTCCACAAATATTAAATTGTTAAATAAAATTCCTTTCTCGTATACCTACAAGTATCAGTACTTTCTTGCACAGATATTTAAAATCAATTACTTTTCCTCTTTTCGACAATTATAAGCATAATGTTAGATGTGATATGTTTGTTAATTATTCTCGAGAGACACTTTCTGCTCCCTAAATTATGATTATTATAAATGTTGACAATTTCTCAATGACGATAGGGTTTAAAGGAGATTCAAGCAAATATTCTAAAACATATGAAAAAAAGCGTTGTATATTATTTTTTAGAAGACAAGGACAAGATAGGGTAACAGCCAAATCTGGCCCCTTATTTGATTTAAAAATAAGAACACTGGTAAAATTGTGAAAGTTTGTAGTTTAAAGTTTAAATGATGCTTACATGTACTTGAAAACAAGCACTTATTTAGATTCAAACCTTGCATTGAAGCCACTAGAGGGTGCCGTAGTAGGACATTATCCAGAATTTCCTCGATTCTGTTGGAATTTCATCATATTTGAGTTACTTTTCTCTTCGGAAAACATAGGGCACAAGCTTGCCTATCCGAAATTTTTACACATAAACTGCATCTGATACTAGTATATAATATATATAAATATTGTAGATAGAAAACCGTGTGCTCTATGTTTTCCGAAAGAAAATGTGCTTTAAGATCGATGAAAATATGTATAAAAATGAGAAAATTCGAAAATTGACCTATTTCCCGACCTCTCTGTGACCTCTCTATATTCTAAATCTTAGAACCAATACTCATTTTGTGGCAGGGGTGACAACAGGTTTTCATGGATAAACTGAAAGACACACAAAACCGGGGGCCACATACTGGTCTTACCCCATCTTGTCCTTTATGAAAGAATCACATTGATTAGGGAATATCACTGTTTTGTTAGTGATATAGGGCTCATATCTCTTTAAAGCAACATACTTTCTTAAATTTTATAAAATAAATTCACGAAAAGCTTAATCAAATTCAGATTCACAAAGCTACAAAAGATAGGTTGATTGAATTTCCCAGAGAAAGTTACTGTAATTTGATAGCACTAACTTATGAATGTCCAGTGTTTATTTTAAACGTGCGTTTCTCCAAAACAAAATGAGAAAAATTCCTTTGAAAAGCAAGTGTTTAAGCGAAGATCGCAAATTAACTTTCATTTTAAGCCTGATTCAATTTGACTATTAACAATGACTGGGCGTTAAACATTATAAAACTATGAAAATAAACTTTGTTTTTACTTCATTGTGAAAAGTCGTTTTAACATCCGAAAGTAAAAAACTCTTTTATTCAAACTTAATAGACATCTTATTTTGTAAAAAAAAAAAAATTAATATCAAACAAAATAATATGAGAAAATCATCGCAAAAGTTATTTTAAGGATAGATGATTTAAAAAATGGATGCCATGTTTGGTATATATTTATGGCATATTTTGTTTGTTCATGATTATTATAATAATTATTCTAAAATATAAAAGAAATAATTATTATAAACTTTATACGACCTATCTGGAACCACCCTTTTTAATTTATACAATTTTCAACATATTCAATGTTACATAAACAAAATAAACTTATCTGCAATAAGTTATTAATATAACATTGTGGAAAATTTTTGTTCTTGCAATTTTAATAATTTATGGTATATTAAGCGAAATGAACACTACAAATTTAATGTTATAGTAATAGGAAATTTCAAGAAGCTTTTAAAACAGATAATGATGTAAAATTTTGCATTTTGCCATTTCTTTTTCTTTTTCATTCTTTTAAATGACGACGTATGGAAAATACAAAAAAAAAATTCAAAATCGCAGGGTGGAATAACATCAAGAAGGCCATTACTCATGATTTTTTTGCCAATACACATCGAAAATCCACACACCGTGTTTGTGGCCACGTTGGAAGTAGACTGGCATTTAAATTAAACGTGTTGGAAATAACCTGTCACTGAAAGCGAACATATAAACCTAAAATTTAATTACGTTGAAAATATTGTAGAAAAGCATTATAGGACTCGGGCGACAAAAATCATATTTAAGAAATGGGTCTTTTTCTCTCTAGGTTATATTCAGTCTTTGAGTCTTTCTGCGAGGAGACACCTGCTAGGATTCTCATGCTTGGATTAGATGCTGCTGGTGAGTTGAGTAGTTATATATTTGTTCTGATAAATTATAAATGTTTTCTTTTAAATGTGAATAAATAAACAGAAGATAATCCATGTATTTAAAAATAGATAAAAAATTAAATGAATAGAATATTCAATGTATATGAAAAAATGAAAATTTTGTGTATACCTCAAATATATTACCTAACATATACACTGCACATATTCTCGATCTGAAAAGTAATAGTGTCAGAGGTGTCTAGTTATTTTTTCACAATGCTAATAAAATAAATTACAGTATTGAAATTGAATAAGAACATACCATTACACGTTTTAATAAATGTAAAAGTGATCGTTGTGAAATGATGTATGTGATCGTTCTTATCAAATGTAAATCGAAACCTAGTCTATATAATGCTAGTAATTAATATACACATATTATACATTACAGGAAAAACCACAATTTTATACAAAATTAAACTCAATGAAGTTGTGAATAGTATACCGACGATTGGATTTAATGTGGAGACAGTGGAACCTGTGAAAGGAATTTCTTTCACCGTGTGGGACATGGGTGGACAGGATAAAATTAGACCACTATGGAAATACTACTTCCAAAATACCGAAGGTTAGGTCTGCTCAGTGTAATCATTTATAACCAATCTAATTAAAATTAGATCTTTTATCCGCTCTAGTTTGATCGCTACACAAAGCAATCAAACGGGAGCGGATCAAAGATCTAATTTTAATTAGATTGCATTTATAACATACTTTCTAGATAATCAAAGAACATTTTTTTCGGTTAGGTACTCAGTATCTGTATACTCTTACATCTACCTTTTACTTGAATATCTGACAGGCTTGGTGTACGTCGTTGATAGTAGCGACAGAGAGAGAATGGCTGAAGCTCGGGAGGAG